TTCTTCTTTCGGATTCCGAATCAAGTAATTTTTGAGTCTAACTTGTGAAATTTTTCGTTGTCAATCCATTGGTGTACTCAGTTACACTTGGATATTTATAAAAATTTACCAGTTTGCCCTTAGGGCTAAACTTGTCCGGTTTTCCTTTTTGTATTGCTTCCGCTTGCTTTCTTTTGGATTCTGTGACTTCGTGGGAAGTCATGGATGTGTCTTGGGAATGATATACATTTCTAGAGACATTGTTTCCATGTTAAAGGACCATTTTTCCCTCAGGGGCTTCCTTTGGTCTTTTTCTGATCTTTTATTCGCGTCGGTTCTTGTGGAGTTCCGTGGCCTCATGGAAGGTCACTTTGGCGTTCTAGGGATGTTGTATATCCCTGGAGACCTTGTTTATGTTTTCGCTTCTGCATTTTGGACCCGTTATCGGTTCAAACTTCGATTCATTACAGGACGCACTGACTCGAAAAATCAGGGCCGTCACATTATGAAGGGTATGTATATCATTTTTCATTTATTTTTTTAAAATAAAAAGTTGCTAATGATATGTACCTTCTTAGAATTTGATAGTTCAATTATCAATGAGATGCACAAAAATAAGGCTTAGATTAGTAATTCAATCATAATCTTTGGATTTGGAGTTACGACATTAGATGGCATGATTTTTATTAAGAGTTCAATATTAGTTTTTGGATAATAAAATAAAATAAATAAAATGAAGAAGCGGGAATGATATACTTTCAAAACCTATTTTCCTTTTTCCTATTTTTAAGTTGACAATGAATTTTTTTAAAACACCATCATAAAAAGAAAAAAGTACTTATACACCTTACATTTAAAAAGCCTTTTTTTTTCTTCTTTTTTTTTTTCCCGGGCCATTTATTAAAAAACTTAAATAGTGTGAAAGAAGAAAAAAATTGGAGTGTCCCACTTTTCTGTAAATTTAACTATTATGTTACAAAATATTTTCAAAGACTTGACGTGGAGATTTGGCTTTGCATTTTCATCCTGTCAAATGAGTCACACACTTATTTGTCCTAATTGCAACGATGTGAACTCTTTAATGTTTTACTTTAATGTAGAAAAACATCGCTAGAGTATAGTTTAATGTATGATTTTATAATTCGGTGTTACGAAGTTAGAATTAAATCCTTTTTAGTGCGAGATATTTTTACAATATTTAACCGTGTAAAATTTAATGGTATATAAAAGCATCATCACCTCATTCATTTAGGTATCAAAATGACCACCGTTTTCTACTTTCAATTTCAAAAATTGGTAAAATTTGACCACCACATTCGTGAGATTCAAAAATAAATGTGAAAGATGTAGACTACGAGGTAGGATGTAAAAAAAAAAAAAAAATGTAATGTACCGCAAAAGATTTTGATTTATGCTCTCACTTGTAGGATATTGTTATTCTATATGTTAGGATTGAGTGCAGTTATGAGATATTGTAATACCCCTAATTTTAAAAGGATATTCCTGATATTTAATTTATTATTTAATTGTATTTTATTTGATGATGTGTCGTTTTCTTAATTGTTTTATTGTGGTGATTATTGAATTTATTATATTATTTGTATTATTTGACTTATTTAAATTAAGTTAGTTGTTTTATTAATATGTAACTGTTTGACTATTTGGATTAAATTAAAAATTAATGGTTGTATTCAGTAATTGGGTTGCCTTAACTGTTTTAATTAATTTAATTATTTTATTATTTTATTTAATTAGTTCACTGTTTATTTGTTTTGTTTGTCGTAACTTAGGGTTTTAGGATTCAGCATAGCCGACTTATAGTTAGAATTGGAATAGGGTTTTGGTTAATTGAAGCCTATAAATATTATAGGATATGTCGACTTAGGGTTTTAGAACAGAAAACTTAATTCTATAAACCACAAGCATAGAACCCCTATTCTCGTAGTGAAAGAAACAGAGAGTTACAGAGTAAGGTTTTGAGAGAACAGAGCACGTTCGGTGTAGGATTCGACTGAGGCTTCAAGGTCTGACCTAGGAGAAGGGAAGAGCAGAAGTAAAAGGAGGTTAAACAGTAGTTCAATGTTGACAGAACAGTGGACACGACGCCGAGGTTTCATAACTGAAACCAAAGGCAAGTTTTTTTCTTCCTCCTTCCCTTTGGCTCGTGTTCTGTGCACCTAAATAGTCTCTAGGGTTTAATTAATCATTAACTGAGGTTTACATGTATGATATATGCTATATTGATAATCTGTATGTGTTGCAATCCACTCTGTTTCAGTTGTGCTTGTTTGAGTTCCAGTATTATTCTTTAAGCATGCTAAACTAGTATTGTTGTAATTACTGTAACTGCTTTTAACCATTGTAAACCAACCATGGGAATGCTACTGGGATTAGATAAGACTCCTAAGTACAGTATTGAAGGGGAACAAAGGGGTTGGAATGGCCGGAGATGGAGCAGGCGGGCTGAAACGAAGTACATCGGAGCAGGAGGCTCTCAGAGGAGGTGAGAGCCGGCTCCCACACATGTAGAGCCGGCTCCATGGGTATTGGTGCCGGCTCCAGGCTGATTAGAGCCTGCTCCCAAAGTTTTGGAGCAGGCTCTCTTCAATAGTAAACTCTCTGATATTTTTTTTACGAGTTGTGGTTACTATTGGGGCATGTGAACTGTTCTGAAATTTTTGGGACTTCACAGAGGGATTAAATAGTTTATTTTGGGTGTTACTAAGACCTTAGATTGACCAAAGTTGGCCTCTGAGTCAGTGGGACAAACAATATTAAATTAGTAAACTTTCTATACTGTTAACGGATAAAAGACGGATTAATTGCTTAACTAAATTTTAGCAATTTAATGGGATTTTGGATGATTATAAAACTTATTTTAAATGCATGATAGGGTCATCTATGTATTTGTTTTGATCTATACATGTTTTGGGATGCTAATTGTCGAAATATTAAACCTTTTCTGCAATTACTTGGATTATTGTTGGATTGAAATTGCTAGAATAATGAAAGGTTTTATGCAACTACATGGATAATGTTTTGGACTGTAAATTACTAAATTATGATTTATATATCGTAATTTACATGGATATGGAGGATTGTATGCACCGGTATGGGACGGTAGTATATTAGGAACGGTTTAGCCTCAAAACGCTAAAACCTAACTTAACGGATTAACGGAATGGATTGTAAACTATTGAATCCTAAATTGTGTTTAAGTCAGATCAACCGACTAAGTTGAGTGACTTCCTGGTTTAGTTAGTTGTAGTTAAGTCATATCAGCTGAATAAGTTGAATGACTAACTGGACTATGTTTCGTATGTCACCTCAATGAATAATTGAATGACATACTCTGGATTTGGACGGACTTTAGATGTATGATTATGGTACCACGAGATGAGCTTGAGTCTCAGGCTCGTTGGTTAGAGTGCGTATATACAGTGGATGCGTAGCTGGATATAGTAGGTAGGTGTACCCTGTTAGGTCTAGGTACTCATGCCCACCTTTGGGTGCGTTTTCGCATGTTGCCTTCTATTCAAGTTGAGACCCTATAGTGAATGCCCTTAGTGTGGATATATATATTTATACGTATGGACTAGATAGCTATTGTGAGGATGTCTAGGGTGTATCTGCGTATCAGGTCACTATATGAATGCAGTTAGATTAGAACTTGTTCATGGGCCTGACCCACTCCTTTATTCTTTTCAGGTACAGGACGGTTCCAGCCTTAGAGCTTGATCGTGTTGGTAGAGGACAGTTTCTCATTCATTGGATTACGTAGGACTTCTCTCGATGTTTCAGTTTTATTTACTTTCAGTTATTTCAGTTCAGTTGGGATTTTATTTAGGGGTCCACTAGATAGATTCCCGAGTTGTAATCATGGAGGTTTTGGAAGATGGTTTTTATTAAGTTTTATCAGTTGAGGATTTTATATTAGTATTCTTTTCGGCTTTTAATATTTATTCTTATTTCATTTTGTCATCTGTGTTCGTTTTAAAATACTTAATTGTTTGATATTTCCCTCGTGTTTGGGCTTGAGCCTGATCAACCCGTGTCTCGGATCCGAGGGGTATCACAAATATAGATACGATACGAGTACGATGATACGATAAACAGGATATGAGTGCGAATAGAATATGGCAATAAAACATACAAAATTATATTTATATATATATATAAAATAATTTTTTATTAATTTTTTATAATATTATAAATCTAAATGCAATCAATGGTATTATATATGAGTTTATTTTATAAAACATAAAACAAATATCTCTATTATGTTTCGAACTTTTCTTAATAATTATACTATAATATTATTGGTGGAAAAATTACATTTTATAAATGTGTTTTGAAGTATAGGGATATGTGGTCAAAGTATCTAAAATGTATTGGATGCATGGTCGAAATATGTAAGAAGTATCATATATGTGTTAACTTTTTTGAAATATAATTAAAAATTATAAATACATTCACGGATACGTATTTGCGAATATTCGAGGAATGTCGATATCGGATATGAATATGATACGATTATGTCGACTTTATAGATGTATCTTTCTGTTACAAGAGGTATTTTGTCCCACATCGAATCCGGATGGAAAGTGAGAGGTATAAATGGATAGGTATGTAGCATTACCTAATAAGCCTTTGGATAAATGGGTAAGTGCTCACCAATTATAGTTGGTATGAGAGTCAAACCTAATTTTTAATTCGGTATCACGCTAAATATCCGGTCCAAAGATCTCTCGATAAATTTACACGGTAAATAGGATGGTCCAATTGCAACGAGGCCCTGTGAAAAGAGTATAGATTGGTAATAAAGGTTGCCCACTCGTTACACCTTAGGTGCAGTGTCATGATATATGTCAGATGCAAGGGGATCTGTATGAGCCGTTTGATGCAGGAGGTTTCGGGGTCTACTATGTGAGCCCTCCGATGCAGGAGGATCCGAACGCGTCTTTGCATATGCTATTAGTGTCACCGCCTTGAAAATTTTGTTTATATAAAAAAAATGTATGTGCGTATATAACGGACAACAGTGCATAACCGAATCGAAGACGTTTCACCAGAGTAAATCAATTTTATCGGGTTTCGCTGGTTCTTCTTCCTCTCAGGTACACCAAACGCCACCCTTTTACCCAACAACTTTTCTCCATCTTACAGTGAATCGAATTCATAAACATGCTCCGATTTAGCTCTATCTGATTGTCCCTTCTTGTTGTTGTTCAATTGATTACTTCTTTGAACGTTGAAAAACTATTACTCAAATGAATTGAATTCCGAATCATACTGATTGATGCTCTTGTTGATTTTATTTTGTAGCAATTCTCTTGATGTTTCGGTTGTGATTCGTATCTGATTGATGGGTTTTTGTTGATCTCTGACTTTTATTTATTTATTTATTTTTCTGTCGCAATTTAAGGCATATAAGAATCAGCTCTGTAGAACTTTGAATCTTAAGATTTAGTTATTGTTTTTCCTTTCTCTGGTATCTCAGATCCATGATGAGAAACAAAAAAAAAATTTGGGTCTTTTTATTTTTGGTATATATATATATATATATATATATATATATATTTCTTTTACCTTACTTGAGTAGAGCTAAAACAAGAAATGAAGGCCTTCAGTTTTCTGAAAAGTAGTTTGAAAATTCGTTTGGTTGATATTTTTACAAATATTCTGAAAGCTGCTTTCAGAAAATTTCCTATTTCCAAAGAATTGTTTTGTAGTTCTTTGAAAACTGTCATGTTGCTTTTGGGAACACCGAATAGGTGCTTTGGATTTGGAATTGGAAGAAAGTTAGTTCAAAGTTTTAACTAAATTTCTTTCAATTCCAAATCCAAGCCGCCGATTCAGTATGGAAAACATAGCTTTAATGTATTTATTTAAAGGCTTTGAGAAACTGTTTTATGATAACCAAACAAAAAACATAACGGGTTTAAATTAATTTCTATATTATGTACAAATAAGCCAATCAGCCATAACTCCATAACTCCTGGAGATATGTCTATCAAAACTAACAGAAGAGCTTAGTTGACCATAAGGTGACATAATATGGGCAATATTGTTAATTAAACTTCCCAAGCTTTCCCTTCATGGATGATCATTTAAAATCAGACTTCTTGCAATATTATATCTTACTAACCTCCGCAAGATTTGAATTAACAGCCTTTTTCAGTCCTTTTTTTAAGTTCGGGTTGCCCATGAGAAATAACAAATTACGAAACTTAAATTGTATTACCTTAATGGTCTTTAATGATTCCCCTGATCCTTCTTATGTTGCTCGCTAAGGCCCCCATCTGTGTTAATTCACTCATTGTTGGGGAGGAGGTTTTTCCCACTTGCATTGAATATCTATTGAATGTTGAAATAGGACTATTACCCCATTTGTCACAGAACTCTCTCAAACGAGGATGTTGATGAAACCTTCTTTCAGAAGGCTAACATATGGACTCCTAGGTTTGAGAACATGGGCTCTGTTCTTGTATTTCCAATTGTTGCCACATGTCAATGTGCTCAAAGTTGCATACAATCAAGGAGTTGGTATCAACTTCACCAATTAACTTCCACTTATCATCAAGATATTTCCTCATTGCCTGATAAGGCAGGATCTTAGCGCATATCCTACTAAGCCATCCATCCATCGCATTAGTTCCTCCTCCACCTCTTCATGGGAGTATGTAATACTCTGAATTAGATTCTGGTGGTGGAACAAAGTTGAGAGGAAGCACAATTTTCTTTTGGTTTGTCCGTTGTGGCGCATTTAGCTAGCTGCTTTTGCCCTATTGTTGGATTTGTACATGCCCATTATGCTTATTTCTCCACCAGATGTAAATTTTTAAATTTTGATTTGATGCCCCCACCCCCGGGCTGCGTATTTTTTGATAGGGCAGAAATCACATTACTCTATTGGTGCTGTCTTGGGCCTGATCACAATTGCTCCTGCCCTGTGATTTCGTTTTCTGTTGAAATGCCACCCTCCTGACGTATCTCTCTCTTGTTTCGTATCCTCTTTAGACTTCTTGTTATCATACACTTTGCATAGAGCCTGGTTTTCTCTATAGGATCCTTCCATAAACGAAGTTTTTTTCACTGAATACATTCTTTTTCAGGTTTCTTCTCTGCTGTCTCCAGGTCTTCCGTTTCAAGTTCACCTCTCTCAACCTTCATGGCCGAACTGCCACAGATGGGGAATATCTTTCCTCCAACCACAATTCTAACTCCCTTGCCAGCATTAGTGAGATTATTCCTCTGCTCTCACTAGATGATGATGAACGAGGAGAGGAAGAGTCTCGTAGAGTGGTCATAAGATCTTACTGGAATTACCAAATAAGGTGCAAAAACATCCATGGACCATAACTGCAATTGTACCTTAGTTATTGGTTAAGGTAACTTTTATTTGTTTTATTTCAAAATATTTCATGGGCTTATTGAAGAATTTACATAATCTTGACATTTATATGCATAAATTGGATTTAATATTTGTTGATGAATGGACTCTTAGATACTTTGATTTGATTATTACTTTTGTGCTTATTTGGGTGTCAGACAGATGGGGACGGGAGGGAAGCTTGGGAACACGCAAAGTATTTCAAGAAGGGTTCAATCAAAAACCAAGGATTTTGATGATTCTGATGAGGATTACACGGTGGGAGATGATGAAGAATGCAATGCAACAGATGAATACTGTTCTTCTTTTGCTGGAGATGAATCAGAAGAAATTTTAGGTGAATTAGAAGAAGATGAAGAGGAAGTGAAGATGAGGGAGGTTGCTAGGTCAAAGAGGCAAAAGAGTAATTCTGGAACGAAGGGAATTGGTTTTGAAAAACCGCAGAAGAAAAAAAGGGTTTCATATAATGAATACGATGATGAGGATTATGATGGTGAGGATTATGACGATGATGAGGAATTTATGCCGGATGAGATTGATTATGTAGATGATGAAGATGAATTGGTGGCTAAGAAAAAGAAGAATAGGAATGTAGGCAGGCCCTTTTTGAGGGAAAAGAGTTTTGTCAAAGGGCGGAAGAGGAAGAGGAATTCTAAGGTTATGAAAAAAGTCAAAAAACCTATGAGAAAGAAACTAAAGAGGAAGCATGGGTTTGGGAGGAAATCAACTGCTAGTATTGATTTGAAACTCACAGACAACAACATTGATGTGAAAGGAAGGAGTAAGAAAAGTTTCGGGCAGAGAAAAAGGAGATTGAAAGCAAATTCTGATCCGGATTTTAGGAGTTCTGGATCATCTGATTTCGAGTACACCATCTCTGAGGAAGAGAGAGAACAGGTGAGAGAGGCCAGTGAATTTTGCAGAAGTTTAACTACCAGTTTGAAGAATTCATATTCATCAAATATATCACAGGGACCCCTAAGTCAGCAACGTCCAGGAAGAAAGGGTAAGGAGAAGGTAAAGGACTTGAAGGATGAAGTAGGAAAGCAAATATGTGGGATTTGTTTGTCAGAAGAAGGGAAGAAGACTATCCAAGGAACAATAAATTGCTGCACTCATTTCTTTTGTTTTGCCTGTATCATGGAGTGGTCAAAGGTGGAATCTCGTTGCCCTTTGTGCAAACAAAGATTTGTGACAATTAGTAAGCCTGCAAGATCAAATAAAGGATTTGATTTGAGGACCGTGGTAACACAGGTCCCTGAACGTGATCAGGTAGTCAATTGATACTATTTTTTTCAAGATCCTTGAAGCATAAACTTGCCCAATTATTTCCCCCTTTGTTTCTTTGTGTATTTTTTTTCTCTGCTTTTGTTTGTTTTCTATTATCTTCTTTTTGTTCAAGTTTTTGATTGTTTCTGCCTTGTACAGGTCTATCAACCATCTGAGGAAGAACTTAGAGGTTTTCTTGACCCGTATGAAAGTGTTATGTGTACTGAATGCCAGCAAGGTGGGGATGATGCTCTGATGTTACTTTGTGATCTCTGTGATTCGCCTGCGCATACATATTGTGTTGGTCTTGGACGTGAAGTACCTGAAGGTAATTGGTATTGCGAAGGCTGTAGATTAACTGCTCTTGGTTTCTCAACTCCACAAGCTCCAAATCCTACAACTGATCAAAGAAGAAGTAACTTGTCTGTTGGCACATCTCCTTTTGACAATGTTGGGGAAAGTTTAGACCCCACTTCCATGTATGTTCCTGATACGCCATTGACTCAAGGAACTGGGCTTTTTTCATCTCCTAGAGATCGTGATGGAGATCTTGGATCTGCTTCTTCTGTATCTGGAGCAGGGGCATTTACTGTATCGGAAAGACGCAGGATTCAGAGTCATATACACCATCTACTTAATAATAGAATGAACCGATTGGATAGTAGAACCAATGGGATATCAGCTAGACCTTTGGGAAACAATTTTTCTGGCTCTGAGATTGATCAAGGTAGGGAAGTGGCATATCAAGATTCAGTAACATCAGAAAGGGTAGCAACCTCTCACAATTTTTTCGAGGGAAGGTTACAGGATAATCCCACATATTTAGCACAGAATAGGGATCATTCCTGTACAAGATTTAGCAATTCCAGGGCTACATGTACTGATGGTTCTGTCAAGGGGCGATCTGAACTTGGGATCAATGTGGGGATAAATTTAAGATCGGATAATGAGCAGCTCCTTCCACACCATAGCAGATCAAGCATTGGGTCTGACGCAAGTGTATCCATGACCCACTTCATTGTGGAGAAAGAACAAGTGCAATCAATGGTTAAAAGTCATTTGAAAAGCTTGTCCAGAGATACGGAGTTAGGTATGTTGAGTTTGCAGTTTCTTCTTCATATATTCATATAGAGTCCTCATTTTCAAAATAAATAATATGGTATAATATAAAATTTTGAACTCTAGTTGTACAGGCAAGGGAAAGTTGTTGAGCCAGATTATTCGAGATCTGGAAGATCAGATCCTTGTTCTGAATTTGTGAAGTAATTCATGCTGTTAAATGTTGATATTTTTAGGAACTTTATAGGACTTCAACTATATATCATTTCCTTTTTCATTTTGTCCGTCTTTCCATTTTTTTTCAGCTGGTGGAAAGGGGATGTATGTTTTAGCATGGGGCTTGGTGATAATTATAGCTTTACGCGATGCACCCTGGTTTACTGAATTATTAATTTTTTTTTAGAAATGGTAGAAATTTTGTTTTGTTTTTCTCGTAAACCGTTCCATGAAATTGAAGAAATTGAGCCATTTTTAGGGAACATCAGAATGAAATTTTGTTTTATCTGTTATTGTTTTCCGGTTAAAACTAAAAGATGAGCATTAATATTGTATACTCAAATGTTCTTGCTGTTCTCAAAAAACATGTTTCAGATAACTCAATTCTGAAACCTTGCCAAATAGGCCCATATATTCTTTGATTCCTGCCTTTTGCTCTTAGTGGTTGGCCTAAATTTTTGTTGGGACGATGATATTTGTTGTATATGAGGAGGGTGTGTGCATGTTATTGTGTGGCCATGCATTGTGCCCTTGTGGACTGCTGCCTCTTGTCTGTCCCAGGAATTATTCACATCACGGAGGGTGACCTCTTTAGATGTCTGCTTGACCATCATTCAAACTCATTCTTGGATGTAATCATATCATTGATGTTAAGAATAGCAATAGGTTTCGACTTTGGTTGTAACTTTATAAATTTTATACAGATCATATGAAGTACCTTTGTCATGCTTTTAATCTGGACTGACTTTCTTTCCCTTTGTTACCTAGCCTTGAAGTGCCTACAATTTTCATTGCATACTTGTTCAAACATGTCCATCTTCCATGTTATACTGAAAATGTGGACGATGCCCTTCATTTTTTGTTGCAGGCTACAGTACCTTCAAGGACATAGCACGGAGCTCTACACACACAATTTTAGCTGCATGTGGACTGGACCATCGTGGTAGTGAGGTTTACCCTGTGCAGCCACCGCCAATCTGTAATCATGTTGAACAAACGACAGTTGGGCAGATGAGTCCGACGAAAGGTCACTGCTCAAGTTGTTTTGATTCATTTGCGAGGGATGTAGTGCGCGTGATCATGAATTCGAGACTGCCTCCATGCTCTAGGGACTAGGAACCAATGCCGGTGAGTAACCTGTTCAGCAAAACTGTTTTGTATGCCTCCTTTTTCGATAGGATTTTAGACAAAATTCTCTAGTCAGATTGTTTATAAAGATGATGTTTACAGTTTTTTAGTCATTGTTTAGACTGGCTGTGCACAAATTGTAATATTTCCACTAATAATCTGCTAATTTATTCATACAAATAAATCACTTGGGTAGAACTGTTAGTTTATTGTTACCTGATCAGTTTGGTGATCAGTGCTTTAGACAGGCTGTGTACAAGTTAAACTTTTATTTTACTATTAACTTTCTGTTTGATTGCTTCTATGAATATATCATTGACATTTGAACATGTGATGCTTTGTTATATGTTTTTCGAATGGAGAATACTTGCTTGCCTACTACCCCATAAGAAGGAAGTTCCTTCTTATGAGTGACGTGGACCAAGTAAATAACACCACCTGTTCCAAATTTAAAATATTATTAAAAGGATATTAGTAGTGGATTCAACCTGTTTTTAATTGGGTTTTATTTCTCTCCAGGGTTAACCAAAATCTAGCCTATTTTTAGGGTTTCTACATACATATAATTCTGATTACTGATTTTCTATATTTTTAGACTTCCAATAATTTGTTAAATATCTTGTTTGAGTCAGGTAAGTGTTTCACTGCACCCATCACCGTCTGCTCTCCATCTTCCTCACATACACATAAATCTCTACTTAGTTTTCAAAAAACTAAACCAAGCAGAATTTTTTGTACAGTTTTTTTAAAACAAAAAATTATTTTGAAAGTTACAAACCAAGCCGGCAATAAAACACTAATACAATTGATTGAGTGGGGGAAAAGAGAAAGAGGGTGGGGGGCAGTGGTGGCGGGGAGAGGGGTCAGTGGAGAGAGAAAGAGGGAGTGGCGGTGGTGGCGGCGGTGGGGAGGCACATTAGGGCCTTTCTGGATTAGAGGTTAAGAGGGGATTTCAGATGGGTTTTAAATGGTTAACCCGTTAAAAATTGGTCAAATTTTTATTTTAATTTTAATTTTAATATTAATTATATTATTAAAACATGCGTTAAACTTTCATCTTCTAGAAGGAACATCATTCTTTATGGGTAGGAGGCAAGCATCATCCTTTCCCAATATTTTCAAGTACCTTCACCTTTTTTTCACACCCTTAGGTCCGAATTTAATAATAATAAAAAGAATAGCGGGTACATGTTTGCTCTTTAGAATAGCCGTTGAGGCGTGTGAGTATCAATTATATATATATATATATATATCTGATTCCAACTTCAAGGTGGTAATTCGGTATTCCCCAACACTTTTCAAAATGACAATATTATCTCCCTTGATGAAATATCAACTTCTGCATTCAGTCAAATCCATTTTATCTTATAGTTGCATGAGAGGATTTGAGCTGTGCAAGAAAACCTCCCATCACCGTTGCCGACTTGTTGCCACCGGAAACGGAAAAAGAACGTACACAGAATTATCATTATTTATCAAACCCGATATGCAGATGTGCTGGTTTTCGTGTACATTTTTCAGGCTTTTAACAGAAAAAAAAATAACAGAAAGTTGTTATCCAATCAGACGCGTAGATATCCTTCTATATGAAGATAGGTCTTAAGGAAGAAACTCAATACAGAGAGAAGCTGCAAAGACAAGTATCGAAATAAGTTTATTATCTTCTCGATTAAGCATGAACTGGAATGAAAATGGAATATGGAGTCAATGACTCTGCCTGGCTACAAAGATTTCACATGCAATATATATTACATTTACTACTACCTGTTATTTCACTCCCTGCTTTAATACATAGGCAGACACTACAAACAAACCGCTTCAGGAGCTCGTGGCTGTAATAAAAGCCCACAACAGCAGCAGCCATGATACATATCTTCTTCATAAGTTGTCATCAAGAATGGTGGAAAACAACATTCCCTGAACAAATTCACATCTCCTTGCCTTTTCTTCCTGATCCTTGGTCGATAAGGGAGGTGATTTGGAATTCCTGTCACAAGCCAATATTAGATTCGGAACTAAATAATTCTGAGGTAGTAAAAGCACATCAACAGAAACAGTATGAAACCACAATCCATTATAACACCTACATAATTGCCAGATATACAGAAACCATAATAGCGTGGATGAATTGCCCCATAAAAAGAAAAGAAAAATCATTCAGCGGAAAAAAATATATATTAAAACTACAATTTAAAAAAAAAAAAAAATTTAAAAAGTACAATAATTAGATGGTTTAACATGGCAGAAATGTAGATCGACACCCCCATGAATTTTCCCATAACGTCTTCCCCTATTACCTATTTTATGATTATCTTTTATCTTTGTGAGTTTTTCTTTTTCCCTCAGACGCAAACACACTGTAAGTTCTATCACAAACAAAAATTATTGAAGGTGGGAGTTTACCAATTATCAGAAAGAAAAAAAAAATGCTAGAGATGATCAAGAGAGTATTTTGCATTTCAAAGATTGATTCTTCCTTTCCATTTGGTTTCCATTCTATTTGATATTTTCTTCATTGGTTGCTTCTTGTTTCAGTGTTTATTTATATGGTATTCCCTATGCAACATTTGTTGATAGGTTTCTTGCGTGCAATGCCTGCAAATGCCCCATTTTACATCTTTCACTACTGTTGTAGCAAGGAGCTATATGCTTGTTTCTACCCACGAGATTTTCCAACTATGATGGGTTTGCACTTTGCAGTGATTTAAAAAGCTATGAAATGGATTAGATGGAAACCTTAGACAAAGGTGTGGAGAAACACCAAAAAATGGAACATCCTGCCAACACTTGGAAACATGAAGTAAAATACATAAATGCTTTAAACTATAAACCAACCAATAAAAAAACAGAATACATTTCAAGCTTACAAGAGAGCACACTAGGATAGAATTGAGAAATAAATACATGTAAGCCAAGCCATCACATTATAAAAACAATTCTTTACTACTAAAGGATTTATATATATAAGTTACACCCTCTCCAACAACTTAAGCTTTTGGAGTAGATGGTATATAACATGGTATCAGAGCCAAAGGTTCTCATGTTCAACCCTCACTATCACCCTGATAATTAAAATTGAAACACTGTGTTGGACAAAAAGAATGCCACAATTGAGGGGGCATGTTGAAGGATTTATACATTTAGGTTACACCCTCTAACAGCTTAAGCTTTTGGTAGATGGTTTCCACTACTACTACTCATTAGGTGCTATTTCCACTCCTACTACTCATTAAGCGCTATTTCTTGGAAAAATCTAAAATGATTTTCTTGTCTTGTTAGGTTTTAGCACGTCAATCTGCCTCTTATTTCTAAAATGATATTCTTGTCTAGTTAGGTTTTAGTACATCAATCTGCCTCTTATTTTGAGGAAGATATGGACTACTACCTTTTAACAGTCACCTGTATTGCGATTAACAAAGATAAATTCAATCCTTTTAAAGCAAACACACACGCCCCTATTATCCACAATATGTCCCTTTAGGGACTTGAACTTACACTCGGTTTTGGTATGTTTCAACCATTTTTTGGTCGGTGTCAAAAGAAACTACTTCATTCCCAGTAAAAATAAAAATTGCAGTTTCAACTATATTAAGTTTCGGCTCACTGAAAAACGGAGATCTTTTGGCAATATTGATTAAAACAAAATGAAATTTTGATCCCCGTGCCTGTATCTAAATATGATGGTTTACTTGTTGTCCAACAACTATGCCTTTCAATCCTTTTAAAGCAAACACACACGCACCTATTATCCATAATATGTCCCTATAGGGACTCAAACTTACACTCCGTTTTGGTATGTTTCAACCATTTTTTGGTCGGAGTCAAAAGAAACTACTTCATTCCCAGTAAAAATACAGGTTGCAGTTTCAACTATATTAAGTATCGGCTCACTGAAAAACAGAGATCTTTTGGCAATATTGATTAAAACAAAATGAAATTTTGATCCCCGTGCCTGTATCTAAATATGATGGTTCATTTGTTCTCCAACGACTATGCCTTTCTGATCTTAGGCCTTGCATCACCCTGGGTGGATAAACCTTGCAGAGGAACCCCTAGGTTTTCAGGGCATTGGATTCTCACCAATGTTGGGTTACACAAGCTAACATTCTCGCTTCCGCTTCGTCCACCGCTGCTCACGAAGGGTGCTTCCATGTAAGGTGGAATGCTCCCCTCTTTTACACACTCTTTCAAGGGTGGCTGCTTCTAGGCAAACCTCCTGGAAGAGGATATAACATATCTACAGGAAAATGTTACATGTAACTTGTGTTTTGGTTCTTCTATTGTGTTATGTACAGTCCCTAATAACACTTTGCCACTAATGATGCAAATAGAGAGAGGACAGAGTCTCCTTCCACCAATAAGTACAGAATGCTATTATTCTAATCAATGTAGAAGCCTATATTTCAAAAGGAAAATCTGAAAAAAGCCTTGGAACCGAAAACAGTTCATAAATTGATAAAACACCAAATCATACTGGAAGAAAATTGCTAGAATAAAGGAGTTGTCCTTTTATAATACGATCACTAATGACACCATAAACTTTGCTAAACAAACCTTTGATGTTCTCACACAAGACAACATTAGCAAAACTTTCAATTTCCTAAACTATCACCACGTATTTTCAGACCTTTATTACTGTTTTCACAGACACAAGATTAACTCTTTGACTTTTCATTGATAACAATATACTTTTAAGCACCATTAAATTGTTGGCACCCAATCACCCTTACTTGAAGAAAACTTGTTCCTGAGTTTTAGCACTGACCTGGAGGAAAATTGCTAGAATAAAGGTGTTGTCCTTTTATAATAGGATCACTACTGACACCATAAACTTTGCTAAACAACCTTTGATGTTCTCACACTTTTTTTTGATAAGGAAACTTTGATGTTCTCACATAAGACAACATTAGCAACACTTTCACTTTCCTAAACTATCACCAAATATTTTTAGACCTTTATTACTGTTTTTACAGACACAAGATTAACTCTTTGACTTTTCATTGATAACAAGATACTTTTAAGCACCATTAAATAGTTGGCACCCAATCACCCTTTCTTGAAGAAAACTTGTTCCTGAGTTTTAGCACTGACCTGTAGCTCTTACTTTCTTACTCTCGTGGTATGAATACAAAACTGAAAGCTTAAATGTAAATTTAGGGATAACGCTACCCAAGTGTTGTGAAAAGTCAGTTTGAGAAACATTTGCTCCAATCTTAATGATGATTCCATAGGGTCCAATATTCCTTTTTGTCTAATTCAAAATAAGTGTCAGTTGGAAACCTCTCCTCGCATACGTATTTTTCTTAAAAGCCACTGGCATGCCTTTTATTCTCTACATACTCCGTATCCTTGGCATTTAATTTTAGTCAATTTTCAACCTATTCTGATCATGGAACTCATTCATGTCATCTGCCACGTTTCCACACTTTATATTGCTCTGCTGGTATAGGGAATAGGGGCTGAAAATGTGTTTATTGTCTTCCATATACAAATAGTTCTTTAATGTTTTAACCAAGTTCACAGCTGATTAATGTGTTTGTTTCATTTCATCTGCCACGTTTCCACACTTTATATTGCTCTCCTGATATGGGGAATAGGGGCTGAAAATGTGTTTATTGTCTTCCATATACAAATAGTTCTTTAATGTTTTAACCAAGTTCACAGCTGATTAATGTGTTTGTTTCATTTCATCTGCCACGTTTCCACACTTTATATTGCTCTCCTGATATGGGGAATAGGGGCTGAAAATGTGTTTATTGTCTTCCATATACAAATAGTTCTCTAATGTTTTAACTAAGTTCACAGCTGACTAATCTGTTTTTGCAGATTCTTAGCATTCTCTCTTTTAATCATGTTGCCTATATTTATGGCTTGAGATGTCTCCTGGGTCTCCAGGATTCCCCTCGGAGTTGCTTCCTTACACATCCACAGATCCACAAGAAGAACGTATTATGGAAACAAATTTGATACTCCTAGATGCAAACAATCCACTTACTACTGTAAGTAAAAACTGGTACTAGTCCAGTTACTGTTGAAACCTAGATTTTTTAAGGAAGATCTAGAAAGGAGAAACTCTTCAAAGCTAGAGAAAAATTTTAGTGGATGTCGTCCATTTATAATACAATCACTAATGACCTGAAAAGCTTCCTTAACTAGACCTTTAGTGTTTCCAAACAACATTAATAACACTCTTCACCTTCATAAGCTATCACTTAACCACTGTCACCGGTCACGGGACAAGAGTTTCCTTTTTTCGTTCCAACCAAAAGCCCATGCGACACAAGGGCATTGTACCCCTAACAACAAGATTTTTGCCTGCCTAACTTGGCTTTCACCCGCACTTGGCTTACACACACCCCCACACACTTGCGCACTTGTTAACAGGAGAAAAGAACATTTGTAATACTAAGCAAACAATTATGTACAAGGTGGCACTCAAAATAGAGCTCCCACACGCACTAGAGCTTTTCTCACTCATATCATAATTTTACCCATGCCTTAAATATTTTCTACCCTTTCACTTGATTTCTTGTTTGAATCTAGAATTTTTGGTTTATTATTATTTATAAATAAATTTATTTTGATTAATTATATAAAAGAAGAATCTTGGATTTTCTTTTTTCTTTTTCCTGTTTGAATTTAAGAAATTTGGTTTACCTTCCTCAGCCGACCCCAAATAGTTGGAAAGAAGGCTTGGTTGTTGTTGTTGGTTTACCTTTCTTGAACAAAAGCTATGATCTGGCAACCAAATGCAATGAAAGCCACCTTTCTTGGACACAAGTTATCTGGGAGACTGAGCTCTTGAGCTCGGTTTGAGGCAGGTCAGGTTAGGTCATGCTTGGGGATGGCATTCTTCAGGTTTATTTGGGTTAATCTCTAACCTAAACCAATCCATCGGAGTTGCACTAAACTTTGTTTTATGGAACCGAAGTACCATGGTTTTGAACATGTTATCCAAAATGCAAATCGCCTGATAACATTAAACTTGGCTTACCCTTCGAAAGTTAGGTTGATTTGCTCTGGACCTTCCTCAAATCTTCTCCTAAAAACCTCCACTTGATCAAAATTCAGATCTTATTTACATTTCTTATTATGAAGAAGAAAACTAATGAAGAAATTGGAAAGAATTTTAGTATTGGTAAATTTAGTCATATAAATTATGTTCATTGTGCAATCAATGTAAACCTGTACAATAAAAAATTTAAGGTTATTCATTATTGGGATGGCTTTATGTACGATACAGAAGGTTGGGTGGCTAAAAAACAAAATGTTCATAAAATGAATATGTTTCAAGGCAGATGTTAAGATGGTGTGTGGTACAACAATGAACAACAAAATTAAAATGCCTAAAGATGTGAAACAGTTAAAGCGGCATCTATTAGATAAAATGAGAATAATTTGACTAAGAAGGATGACCACGTGCAATGATACCGATTATTGTATTAACGAGGAAGAGTTTTAGGGTATTACTAGGGGAAGAACAAAATTTTAACGTAGATAGATATGGTAAAGAACACATGAATATATTGTTGAGAAATAATGTGAGTCAATATTTGAAACCATGGATCAGGGTCATTCGCCCTCTAAATAACAAAATCAACTAACAAACAATGGTTTTTCATTAATGAGTGAGAACCTAACATACATTATTCAGTTTTCTAGTACAAGATTAATTAGGAAAGTATAGAAGGTTTCACATTCAACAAACAAGGAGGTAAGAAAAAAACGTAATTACATACCTTTCTGAAGCATTCTCACTAGAACTTTTCTTGACTGAGATTGTTTCAGCCGAAGACTGAGGCTGAAAACTCCCAAAATCATCACCCATAGGCAAAATAAATGATGACAACAATGGATCAGGTGCCACGTTAGCTGAAGAAACTATACGGGAGGACCCTCCAAAGAGGGACTGCAAATTTCCTTCTCGCAGTTCCCTCCTCAACAAAGAAAGTGTTGAATGGGCTCCACCTTTACGGGATTTCCTCTTGCGCTGCATGTAATCTCTAGTTAAGGAGTTCAGAGCATATGGTCGAATCCTCAAAGTGGTCAAATATTCATATGCTTAAGGCTTATACATTCATTGCTATAAATTAGTGGTCAAACATTCAAATATTCATATCCTCGAAGTGGTCAAATATTCATTGCTATAAATTAGTCAGTTGAACTTGACAAGTGTAATATATTTAAGGGTTTTGCACCAACTTTGGCAGAAAATCAATAGAGGAAAAAAGAGAAGAATTTAGATAGAGATATATACAGGCACATGCGTAAGCATGCTAGAGAGCTGCTAATCTTTCCAAAAACTTCACAGTAAGTTGTCCTTTCACATAAATGCCAAAAAAAGAAAAATCATTTTAATCAGGAAAATCATTAAGATTCATAGTTCTGTGTGACAAATGACTAAAACATCACATAGAAAGAACGTTTTTGGAAGCAAAGGACATGTTACATGGACAAGAACTATTCTTGAAGTGACAAAATGAGCAAACTGATCAGCGATCAGTACAAGCTGTTTTCATGGACTGTCTTGTTCATCCAAGGTACTTGTGTCGGCACAACGTTACATGGGCATGGCCACATGGATATGAGACATGTTCAACGCACAAACCCAAATCTCTACATGTAACATTGAAAGCAGAATAGAAATAGTTCAAATTTGATAAAGAGAAGTATTCCTAATAGAAAAACTTTTGTTCTTTCACCACGTCACATTTAATTTAAATTCTAATTATATTTATCCTTATATAACAAAACATCAAACATTACAATATTAGATACCTAAATGAGTAGAACATGTCTAGGTATCCATACTCAACTTTTGGACACATTTCAAGCAAATTCCCTGGTTCCTAAAATTTGGGGTTCAGACAAATCCGATACTTGGATACACACACCCTTACCAACAATACATGTACATGAATCCATGTAACAGAAGTGCAAGAATCAAAAGCCAAAAACAAAAAAATACCAACTAAAAGGATATCTTGAGAATGTTTCCGTGTTGCAGCGTTATATGTGCAACCATGTCAACCCCCACCCTCATTGCACAAACTGGGCACACCTGCAAGGAGAAAGCCTTCACTTTTAGCAAGATAAGCTCAAAAAATCAAACCTCCCCAATCAACAAAAACTTTTCATTATACTGCTCAAAAAACAAAAAAGACATGTATGCAGTTTCAAAGAAAAACCACAAGCCTCCATATCCTGGCTCACACAAGGTATGATTATACCCCCAATATCAGTCTTATCCAATAATTGACATGGGAATCTTTGAAACAAAGAAACACTCATAAACACAAGGAAAATATTTGCAAAACCAAAGGAAAGACATCTTTTGTATATATTTCCTTTAATGCTTCCACCTGATACCCAAAAAACAAAAAAACAAAAAAACAAAAAATAAAAAAACAAAAAAACAAAACGAATAAAAGCATTCTGATAAACTTGTATATGGACCGAACCAAGCCCCCAAAAGAAAAATGAAATAAAAGGAAAAAAATTGAATATACTTATAAATAAAAATCTAAACTTTGCAAAGTTATCTAGTGTAAGATGTGAAAAATGATCATCATGTGACAAAAAAATTAGTAATACCCCATGCTTTGCCTCTACAGGATGCTCGTCGTCAATATGACAACACAATCCGACGATATCAAAATACTCTGAACAGAACGGGCAAGGAAACTCCTCTCTTATATCATCATCTCCATCAATTTCTTCAAAACCCATGAACATATCTGCACCAAATACAAACCCATTTCAATTAGATCAACAAACACACACATTCGCAAACACATGTTCATCAAAACCCGTAAATGGAAGAATCTGGAGCTCACCAGATCGCGATTGAAGAGCTGATTGGTACCGCTTTGAGGCATAAGACAGACGAGCACTCCACGAATCAGCGTCCATGACTTTGTTCAATCGACAATCAGAGAGAGAAAATCAAAGCAGTTCGACTGCCAATGAATTAGGTTTTCAAGTGATTAGCTTTGTTGGACTCTAATATTTGATTTAGAAAAAATGGATGCAAAACCCTAAAGGCGATTTGGAAATGAGAGAGATATCGAGAGAGATGGGGAGGTGTTTGATTCGTGAGGAGTGAGAGAGAGAGCTGAAACAACGAAACAAAAGAGCAGAGCAGGTGAAATCACCGAAAGGAGGAGAGAGCTTCTTTGTACAGACCGTTTTTATACTCACCCTTTATCTGTTTCTTTTGTTTTTTGTTTATGAATTTATGACAACATATGTATCAGAAAAACAGGAAACAGAAAACATTCTAAATAATGTATGTCTATATAATGATTTTTTTTTGCCACAATTTATTGAGGATTCTATTTACAGTAATGTTACAAAGATTAAATTGGATATGAAACCAATTTGTCACCTTGTTTTTCGTGGTGCGTCAACTTTTGTTGAGATTAAATTAGATATGAGACGAAAACATACGGGTAATTAAAAATAAATAAAAAAATTGTCTATATTATTCACAGATTAAATTAATATCTAATTTTGTTGTGACACTTGTTAATTGACTGTTAAAAAGTCAAAAATTAACTAATTAAAAAAAATATAATACCAAAATTATCTTTTACTAGTGAGATGAGATGTATGAGTTCATAAATGAGTTTGAAACTAACTAGGCCATAGATGAGGTAAATCTTGGCTTTTTTTTTGTTTCATTTTTCAATGAGTCGGTTGTTTAATTAAGACATATATTAAACAAATTGTAAAATTATATTAACATATTGTTGGATTTTTAATTGAAGCATATGATTGATAAAACTAATTATATGTTTCATGCTAATTAATGTTTTAATGTTTCCCATCCATTCAATTCATAAAACGAAAGAAGACAAAGGAAAAATAAAATAAAATAATAATAGATAGAGAAAATAGATGACATCGTGTTATAAACATTATATAAAATATATTAAGTAATCGTGATTTATATTATTGACTTAATAAACTAAATTGTGTATCATGACTCAAAATTAATTTTATAATAATTTCATTGAATTGATTTAAAGAATAAATCAGGAACCAAATCAGATTGGGAACCTTAGATGTTATTTTTCGAATTTTTCATGAGATGCCTAATCATGTTGTGTGTATTCCAGATTCTTACATATATGGTACCTGCACTTTTTTTATTCATGGTTTATGCTTGAATTAAAATGATATATCTAAGTTAATTTAGATTGATATTTGTGTCCAAATTAAAATGACTTAAATTGAGAAATGGTAAACCCTACAGGATGGATCAGTTGGTCAGGCTTTGAGTTTGTTCTCTAATGATCATCCGTTCGAATTTCCTTAAGACCATTGGAGGTTTGCCTAATCGTTAACTCCAGGACCTGTGGGATTAATCAGGGTGTGCCCAAACTGCCCAAACCAAACACTCACTATTGTCACAAAAAAAAAAAAAAAAAAAAAAAATGGAAATGATGATTTTGATTTTATATTTTTTAATTAGTTGACTTTTGACTTTTCTTAAGTATGAAGTAACAAGGGGTGTCAGGGCAAAGGTTTAGATTTTATTTATTTTATTTTTTATTAATTTAATCTGGAAGCAATAAAAACAAACTTGAAGATGGTAGAAATATTTAACCCTTTTATAAATTGATAATTTAATAGGGGCTGAAGGAAAACAGCCGGACAGGTGTCCCATTGTCGTGCTGTGGTGTGTTATTAATTAGGGCAAATTTAAACCATATAGTCAGTGGGAATGTCCTTTTTTGTCCAGAACTTTTCTGTTGAATTTTTTACATGTTCGTGTGTCCATTTTTGTTAATGATTATCATGCTTGCATCATTAGGCTCTGTTTGGTAATTTTGCTGCGAATTGAATCACTAACGTTTTCACGACGTCGTTTACCTATGTTTCAAATCCAAATATATTTTAAATTTTAGAGGATAGGAATGAAAAGTCCTCTATATAAATATATCTACATATTATACATAAAAAGCAGCGGCAACCCTAATTAGATTGGGGATTATCCTAGAAGGTCTGTCGGCAGAGGAAGACATAACAACGTTATGATGGAGGATTGTTCAGAAGTGATCATCTGGGTGTTATCTGTGCTAGCCTCTGTGTTTTATGCTATCATCTGTGTGTTCGGAATGCCTTTGCTGATGTTTGGTATTCTACAAAATCTACAAAGTGACGGCTCTCTCAGCAATTGTATTGTTTCACTTTTTTTATTTCTTATTGGTCTCGCAATTACCATCTTGGCTTACAAACAATTAGTTGATCTTGCTCCAGAGTGCATCAAAGTGTTAAAGGGTCTCTGTGATCACTATGAAGAGGAGTCGGTCACCAAAAAATTGCACGAAGAAGAGGCTGACAAAGTATAGAAGCATGTGGGATAAATATATATGTTTTTAATTATACGGTCTATGTTAATTATTTTATCTCTATTAGGATGATTATTATTATTTTGTTTAAGTGACCTTATATGAAAACTTTTGAGTGAATTTATTACTTATTCTAACTTCACTTGAAATACAATACAATTTATATATGTCTTTTTTTGTGACCATGGGATTAATCAGTGTATTCCTTTTGTTTTTTTCGAATTTTCTACTTACTCTAACTTCACTTGAAATACAATTTATATATGTATTTTTGTGACAATTGGATTAATTAGTGTATCTTTTTTCTTTTTAACTTAAAAGCATCTTCGGTTGCTCATGTAGTAACTAACTTCTAGAAAAAGGGGGCCGAGACTTAACAAATTCAACTCTGCATTGTTCACAAAATTTCCGGTCTTTCTTTTCATCTCCGATTACTCAATAATTGATATAGACATAGGGCTGCTTGATCACGAGTTAATTAATCACATTTGTATTTGTATTTAAGCATGTGGCTGTTTTACATTCTATTGCAATCCCAATAAATAATGTGCTATTTTGATACAAATTAAAAATTAAGTACTAAAAATTTGTATTAATACAAATTATCAAGCATGAAAAAGGAATCGGGTTTGATATTGGTTTTGTTATATTACCTATTTGTTTGAGCTTTTAGTGCAAATTTGAGCACTATCAATAAGCCTAAGGTTTCTTCATCTTATTTTTTTGCTTCTTTTATTTAATGGGTTGAATTGTCTTAACTAAAAAGGACTTTAAAGGGAAGAACGAATTAAAATGAAAACTGTAATTCGTGAATTGAATTTGCGAGAATTTGGAAAATATGGGAATTGATATTGCAAAAGGAATGCAAATAAAATATAAGGGAATAACTAATAAAAGAAGTTGAATTAAAATATAATAATTAACTAAAGGAAAGTTGAATTAAACTATGAGAGCCGAATTAAACTAAAGGAATTAAGTTTAACTAGGAAACATGATCGAAAGAAATTGTATTGATACAATTCTTTTACAATAATATTTCTACAATTATTTATAGAAAACTAAAGAGTCCTAAAATGAAATAAATTATTCCAATTATTTATATAAAACTAAATAGTCCTAAAATGGAATAAATTAACCAAATCAAAGGGGGAGGTTTAGGCTTTCTTTTCAGTAGTATAATATTTGACGCAAACTAAAAAGTATAATTAATACATATTTCCTATTTTAATGAAACTTTCAAACTTAACATTTTAGAATCAAATTAGTCTTTAAAATTCTTACATCTTTATTTTCTTTCCTGTTTGTATATATACACATACATGTATATAACCTTCATATTTACCTTTTTGAACAATTTTATATATATATATATATTAGTATGTAAATATTAGGAAAAGGCACGTGTCGCACGTGTGAATGTTTCGTAACTGAATTTTTTTTTTTTTTTTTTTAAATTCTTTTAGGTTTTTATATTAATACTGAAATATTTATATTTTACTTTTTTTAATTAATATATATTTTTTAATATTTGTTGTAGAGTTTGAGTTTTGCAAAGTAATAAATTTTTTTAGGTAATGTAAATTTTATTAGGTAATTAATAATTTGAATTTTATTAGGTAATATTTAAAAATATATATATAATAGTATAGATTTGAATTTTATTAGGTAATTTGAAATTTAGTATAATTTTAAATTTACAATAGAAATTCAATTATATTAATTTTTAATTAAATTTTAAAATAGAAATTCAATTATACTAATAGTACATTAGATTGAAATTGATATAAATTTTTATTATATGGAGTTTGTAGTTTTTTTGGAAGACTCTAGGTTATATTTTATTTTCTTTAAATATATCATTGTCTAAAGATAAATACAAAGAAAATAAAATAGTTAATTTGTGATAGAGTCTATGTAATTTGTGTTAGAGTTTTATAAAATCTCTTTAAATATATCCTTGTCTAATGTGATAGAGTTTAATTAAAAATAAAATAGGTAATTTGTGGTAGAATTTTATATAAATTATTTATTTTCTTTAATTATATATATCCTTGTCTAATTAGATTTTATTTTATTAAAAAAAACTCATAATAAAAGATAATTTGGGGTAGAGATTTAAAAAAAAATTTATTTTTTATATCAATTATTAAATATTTTTATATTAATAATTCTTGTCTAGTTATATTTTCTTTTATTAAAAAAACTCATAACAAATAGACAAACAAGTAATTTGTGTTAAAGTTTTATATAAACTCTTTTAAAAAAAAAAATTATTTTCTTTAAATATATCCTTATCTAATTATATTTTCTTTTATTAAAAAACTCGGAATAAATAGATAAATAAATGTTATATGTGAAAGAGTTTAAAAATAAAATAAAATAGATAATTTGTTGTAAAGTTTTATATAAATTTTTTTATTTTTTGTAAAAATATTCATAATAAATAGATAAATATAGGTTATATGTGACAGAGTTTTATATAAAATAAAATAACTAATTTGTGGTAGAATTTTATAAAAATTAATTTATTTTGTTTAAACATATTCTAGTCTAATTAGATTTTATTTTATTAAAAAAATCATAATAAATAAATAATGTGATAAAGTTTTATATAAAATAAAACAGCTAATTTGTGGTATAATAGTTATCTGTTCGAGTCTCCTCAAGGCCACTTCAAAGCCACCCGTTAACTTTAAAACCTTGTGGGATTAATCGATGTGCGCCCAACCAGACACTCACGATTGTCACACAAAAAAAAAAAAAAAAAAAAAAAAAAAAAAAAAAAAGGGAAATAATGGTTTTGACATTATTTTTTTTAATTAGTTGACTTTTGACTTTTCTAAC